TCCATATTAATTCATAACTTTTAATGCTCTTAAATGTTTCTGAACTTTATTAATTAATGAGCGTAAATCTTTAGGATTTTCATGAAACTATTTTTTCAATAGAAAGTAATTCATTGATATGAGAATTTACAACCAGTCTCTTATTAACATATTTTTCTTCAAGGCCTTAAATTAGAGAAAATGTATCATCTATTGTTTGTATCTGCTTTGCATTACCAATCAAACAAGATTGTAAATAAAACAATTTTTGAGAATCTGTTAATTGTCTATGAGATGAAATTAAAGCTATAAATTGGTTTTTAAATAATTCCATTCGAAAGTGCCAGAAAATTTAGGTAATGTTATTTCAGGCAATTTATAAATCAATGAATTACTTCTTGTTTTGGGGATACTATTATTTGCATACTCATTATTTGCATTCTTACTACATAATCAAGTATAAAGACATTTCAGGCTTACCTCAACATTGGTGATATCCATCTCTATTTCTTCAAAACTAGCTTCAATGTCTGATATTTCTTCATCTTTGCACACTTTGTAAATTCGAAGCGAAGTCATCAATTTGTTTATTAACTTGTGAACTTTTTCTTGCAATACTTCTATTTGTTTGAAACCAAAATCATCACTTTTCCACTGACAGACGACTTTAAAACTTCGTAATTTGTGATCTAATACCGCCACGTTTTCTGTTCAACGTAGTTATGTCTCCATTAGCCATTTTTTAAATTATTCTAATTAACTGCGGCCGATCGTGACCAAATGTTCTGAGGTCGCTGGTTCTACTGTACATTAAAGACAAATTTACAACAACAACAACCAATTTTATTTTTTTGTACTGTATCACAACAAAAAATGAAAATCGAAAATGATGAATTCCCAACCATACGGGATCAAAAACATGTATGTTACGCTAGGAGTTCGAATTTTAACTAACTAAATTGCGCAGAAACAATGCGCTGTACATAACTTATATTGCCGCGTAGGAGGCAACAACAATTTATATGAATTTAACCATGTTTAAAATTAATTATAATTTTAAATCAAAGAGGCAGATAAGAAGTAAGTTTTGCTCTACTCTTTCAAGCATAAAATTACCTGATAATGGTGAAATAAAATTTACACAGATTTGAAACTGATTAACAATAAAATGCAATTTAGACTTAAATTGAAAACAAAAATCTTTCACACAGATTCACTTAAAACTGAGATACAGCAAACCTTGCATAAACTGATTAAATGGTCCACCATTTATTTACCCAGACTATTTAAAGTCGCTGAACACTGGTAGTTCGGTCCGAGGTTCGAATCCCGCGGACGGGCTGGCTGCATGGGCGTTTTTGTGGTTTTCCCCATGTGCAACGTGTATACGAGCCAGTTTCCCTTAGAAAGTCCTCCACAAAGGCATCCCTCCCCTTAGGCAGATAGCCCTCGAGGCTTCGCCATAATCACAATCACACACACACACATATACAGAGAATCCTTTCTGAGACGAGTGGCCGAGCGGTAAAATCACTGAACACTGGTAGTTCGGTCCGAGGTTCAAATCCCGCAAATAGGCTGGCTGCACGGGCATTTTTGTGGTTTTCATTATGTGTAACGTGTATACGAGCCAGTTTCCCTTAGAAAGTCCTCCACAAAGGCATCCCTCCCCCTTAGGTAGATATCCCTCGAGGCTTTGCCTATAAAAACATAAACCAAACCAAACCTCTCTGAAACTAAAATGTGGTGTTTCAAATAGTTTTATTCTCAGGTTACCTTAGATCTTACCGAAATTTATGTTTTCAAGAATATTGGTTATTTTCAAAACTGGGCATCTTAGAAATGTGGTTATCAAAAATTATATTATACAAAAGCTGTATTATGACTTGAAACGACGGGGAGTAACTTATAAAGTAGGGGATGAAGTATTAAAAATTAAGCATTCACTTTCTTCAGCACCAGAAGATAAGACTGCCAAATTTTTTCCACGATTTGAAGGACCATATGCTATAGAAAAAATAACTCACGCTGTAGTAGTGTTAAAAGCCAGAAATGGTGAAACCTGCTCCGCAAACATTGATCAAATCAAACCCTACTTCGATCGTAATAAAATGCAAATATTTTCAGATCTTTTGCAGGATCCGGCAAGGCAGACACCGCAGGCACAAGCTCCAGAGGTGGAAAAAACGACAAGTAAAGGGCAAGCCATTAAGAGGCAGGAGCAAGTGAAAAGAAAATTTCCCCCCGCGGAAAAATTGAAGGTAGCAAGAAAAAGAAGCCGTTCCACCGTCCAGAAAGAGAGTTCACGAACACCCCCCAGAATGAAGAAGGGAGAAGGACAACGGATGTGAAGAGAACCAGGAGAAATGACGGCAACTATAAACCCGGCTCTAAAACAGAAGATCTACTCATTATCCGACAGGACTCTCCGCAGCAAATGTCGCCGAACTGCGGAAGGGCCATCAGCGGCGGAGGAAAAGTTACAAGGAAAATTTGAACGGCCAGCAACGAGGTCCAAGCAGGAACACGAAAGAAGTTTCCCGGTTCCGCCAAGACCCAGCTGCCATCAAAACGGCCAAGACCACAAGCAGAGGAGAAAAAGAAGGTATTCAAGGGTGACCGAACTGTGAAAAAAGGAAGCTTTCCAGAGGAAGGCACTGAAGGGAGAGCCCGTACAAGAAGGAGGATAATCAAACAACTATCTGCAATACCTTTAAGGACTAAGGATGGCCCAGAAAAGGATGTCCGAATATCACAAAGATAAGTAAAATTTTATGTTACTTTGCAAACATTAAGTTAATTTTTCATTCTTACTGCAAGTGGCAGATTTCAAGAAGTTTTACCTCATGCGAGGTCTACCTTTATCGCCAAAAGGGCGAGAAATGAGTTGTTACCGATTTTGGTATCATGATTTTCAATTACTCGCGCGTAAAACTAAAGTTGATGTATAATAGCGTTGTGTAAAGACTTAAATATTGTAAAAATTTATTGTATAAATTTTATTTAAAACATTCTAGCAAGAAAGAAGTTTAGTCTGAAAGACTTTATGAAATATATAGTATTTCAATGTAGAAAGAATTGGCACTTGCTTTGAAAAGAATAGAAGTTAACAATGTACTACTAATGTATGTTTTCAAATGTGTAAAATTAACGGCATGTTAATATGTTCTTATATACAATGTGAACTGTTATTTTAAATGTTAAGAAATACCGTGATATGGTAAAAGTGAATGTTAAAATTTTTTTATTCGTGTGACTGTAAAAAGACTAAATCATGGTGAATATGTGTTAAAGGTTGAATGATGTAGTTAGGCTCTCTGACGCTACACTTCAGAGTTAGACACTTTCAGAATAGTACCTCAGGGTTTAGAGTTGGAATTAGGGTGTGTTACGAGGTCTTGGCATGTTGAATTTTAACACGTTAGTGTTTTGATTGTAGGAGGAAGTGTTGAACACGTAGACAGAAACACATTTGTGTTTGGTGTTCTTTTACAACACATGTCAGAGAGCACGGGGAGAGATAATTAAAATAGTCATGAATGAAATAAGAATGTTAAGAGAAATATAATTATACATGTTACTTGCCATTTCATTGTGTAACATTTCATTAAACTAGTTTTCCTTCCAGAGATCTGGAAGGAACCAGATTTGAATAAGAGCTCCTGTTTGGATGCAGTACAGATGAAAAAAAAAATTGGTGTATCCTGGAAGCTGCTATTGTAAAAAAACAAATTTCTTTCTTTTAAATTTCTAGCTTCTAGCGAAAAATATTGTAAAAGATTGGCCTCGCGTTAGATTCTAGAGCTAAAAGTTTTCACAAGGTCGTTTTAGACCTCAGTTTAAACTAATTAATAACTCTGCGGGCGGGAAGTATGTAAGGATCTTAAGTTTTACTAACGTTTATTTTATTTTAAAAAAATCTTTACTATCACTTCTATTTTCTACTTCCGGCAAGAATTATAAGCGTTAAGGTTTTTATGCAAAGTTTGTCTGGCGAACGCCAAGTATTTAAGTTGTGGCTAATTGCCAAGCGAGAGAGAGGAAGCAGTGAGTCAAAGCAGGCCGCTTACCTTAGAAGTTACGCAGTTGCTGGTTGCCTTCCAGGCCGGAGGTTTTAATCCTCTTGATAAATTTAAACGTATTGTATCTCTGTACTACATACGCTTCCTGTTAATATAAGGCCAATCTTCCACGTTTATTATTTTAAAGTTAAATTAGAGTTTAGTTCTATTTTTATATTTTTACGTTAGACCCCAAGTAGCGGGTCTGTGTATTCCGAAGTACGGAAGATTTTGTAAATAGAGAAAAATAAAGGGTTTTGTATACCCTTCTTGTGTATCCTGTCTACTTCCCACAATTAGTGAACATAGCTTTAGTAAGCTCTCTGTTCCGAGTCAGGTCCTTGCATGTTCCCGAAGAAGGTAAGAAGGAACATTGACCCTGATAACCTTACCATTTTTCTATTCTTTACTATTACAATACTGGTCAAATTATCACTGCTTAGAAACTGAACTCCTATTCTTAAAAAAATATTAAATGCTTAAATAAAGTGATAAAAATAAACTTTTATTTGATCAACAGATTTTAAGGTCACCCAAGTGAACATAACTCCTGATCTAAATGTAAAATTACAAAATATTTTTGCAATTTTAGTATGTATGGAAAACTATTCAATAAAAAAATCAAGCAGACAATAGCCAAGCTTAAATACAAGTAATTCAAATTAATGCTATAACTGCCAATCTATCAAAATGATAATCATTTTTCTTTTTTGGTAGACACAGCATTCATTAGTCATTGATAGTTCTGGTGTTAAATTAACAAATAATATTTTGAAAATATTATTTAAATAAAAACTAAAAAGAGAAACATAATTTTTTTTCTTTTTAAACAGAATCTCATCAATACAATAAGTTACATCTTTCTTCAGATCTATAAATTACTTTTAAAAAGATTACAGAAAGCAAAATTAAAAATTAAACGCCTACCAACAGACTGCACAAAACTGATTAGAAGCATTCATTTTGTTTACTGTTTTCAAGAAGAATAACTTACCAAATATATGGGAACAGATTTCAATTTTGTCCATGATATCTGAAAATTAAGAAATGAAATTTTTAAAAACTTTGTCATCTCAATAAAATTATATGTTTTTTAACATTTTTCAAAGGAAAAAAATACATTCATTAAAGTTTAATTATAGCATAAAGATATCTTTATACTACATATTGTTACATTGTATGAGTTCGTGGATTTGGAGTAATCAATGATAATACTTGTTGAAAAATTAGAATCAGGGAAAGTTAATTTACGGAGTGCGCAAGGCTAGGCCTTTAACTCTGCATCATCGGAAATAAAATAATTACATCAAAAGAGGGGTTCATCTAATAAGGGAAAATTTTGAAGCCTAATTATAAAAATAAAAGCTTTTCAGATAATGCTTTCCGCATAAGAAAAAGGTAAAACTCATACAAGGTTTTTTAATTAAATTCCGTATCTAAAAAGAGCCAGAATTTAATTTTGAGAGGGCAGTAAACATTAAAAAAATTTTGAAAAGAATAAAAAAAAGCAATACATTTCCTTGATTCTTGATATCAACGGTAAAATAAAATCCTTAGAGCAAGCAGTCCAGATCAAAAGAGCTAGCGTGGGTTCAATTGAACTTGCACCCACTCGAAGAGCTGGCAAAATGGGCTGGGGGGGGCGAAAAGTAGCAGTTCAGAGTGATACAGCTGATGGAGGAGAAGAAAATTTTAGTCGCTATTCAGTGTGACGTTTAAAGGACAGATAAGAGCCCCCCTTAGGGGGTCAAAAGCAACCTATTTAGTGGGTGAAAAAGCTTTTAAGAAGCTATTGAGAAATTAAATGCAGTCGTGTGCAGCTGTAGAGATAGTTGTCCCTTGTTAAAGAGACGTTAGAAGACTCTTCTCAAAGAGTTAAAGAACAGGGTTCCTCCGTTCAATGCCCTTAAGCATTGTTAACGCGGGGGCGGTTAGGGTTTAGGAACAAGATGTAAGCATCCACTTGGGCGTCTGTATTCCAATACCGGCACCGTTTAAAAGGCAGTTGAGCATATTCAGATTGTAAGATTGCTCTGAGTCGCTATTTAGAATGTTGAAGAATTAAAACACAATTTATTCGCCAGTAAGTACTATTTACACAGGACAGCTCTAAAAACACGTTTACACTCATTGAAAAACTATGACAAACACGTAGAAACAATCAGCAACACAGCCTTCAGACTACAATGGTGAAGACAGCTTTAAGGCAAAGCAATAAAGTACAGCTCCCGACTCAGTCGTTGCTCTCAAGCTAATCCCTGAACTCATCAAGATGCTACTTTCTGCCCGTAAAGGCAGGTTATATATAGCTTTAACCTACCTTCAAAAATATTCCCAAGAAAACAGCTAAGAATGTGTTCTAGAATGTTCTCATTCCATCTATGATATATCACAAATTTTGTGGCCAAACATCACTAAAATGGACGATTTTGCACCATATCTCGAAACTGTACTTTTCCCTACCACTTTCTGACAACCCTATGGCCACTTTGTGGGGAAGTATCTCACTGGGCATTTCACAACAATATGTATGTATAAAACAAATTTTTATAACACTGCCATAATGATACAAAGATAAGTATTTTTTAGTCCTGAAGGAAAGAAACTTATGTGAACTCATCTTTGGCATCTGAAAAGTTTTGTTTGTTGATAACCATCAACAAACAAAAGCTCAACTTGCATTCCAATAACACCGCACAGCGGGTCCAAATGAAGCAGCTCACATTACAAATTTACAACTGACAAATATCATGTATATTTGGGAAAAAAGAACTGCTTAATTTCATAACCACCAAAATTCTGATCATATCTATGCCAAATGAAGCTAGTTTTCTTGATCAAATTTATATTGGTGGGTTTCATTATTTATATACAAAATACACTTTTGCTTTACATAAATAATCATATCAATTCATTAGACAATAATCTAAACCAGCTAAGATAATCTAAACCAGCTAAGTGTTTTATAATTTATCATTCAAGAAACCAGCATAGACTCCTTCAAATCATAACTCTGTTTACCAGACTCAATTTCAGTTTCAGTAAAAAATTTCTGCTTTGTGTTATTTCCATATTTCTATCTTCATATACACTGTTGTGGCTTTTCCCTCCAAAAAATGTTTTTTGTATTTTAATATTTCATTTGTATTTTAATATTCCAATGCACCCCATTTAACATAAACTACAGCACAAGTTATGGCATTGTTTCAATGAATTTATGGCCAGTCTCTGAAATTTTTCATCAGAGTTGCCCAACGATTCTCCAAGATTTCCGGAGAACAAAGAAAGAGTAGAATCGTTCAGTTATTTTCCTGTTGTACTACACAGATAAGCGAAAGATTTTATGGGGAGCCAATCTGCAGGAACTGCGTGTGCCGTAAATGTGATTTTCCTCTTAACTAACTGGCATTCCTGCTTGTCATATTCAAACACTTGTTCGCTAGGGAAGTGACACTACATTGATTGATGCTGATCAGGATCGACCACCAGATAAAAAAAAAATAATAATAATAATAGAAAAAACTTTCTCCCCTCCCTTAAAAAGTCTAGGAATAAAAAGTACAATACTCAACAAAAGGAAGGGTGTGTGCCTTAAATGTGGCTTTCCTCTTAATTAGCTGACATTCCTGCATATCATATAACACTTGTTGGCTAGGGAAGTGGCACAGTGGCCAATGACAATACATTGATTGATGTATTGATGTTGGCCAGGATCACATTTTCAGCCCCTGAGCAGCTGCACCAGAGTTAGCAGTTTTATATCTCACCTAAACAATAAGTGAAGCCTTAATGTCGATATGCCTACATGTCATCTCACTAGATTTAAACTGGAGATCTAAAATCCGAAATTGCTTAAGTCCTGACAATTCTGGATCTCAAACTTTGCATTGTACAAACAAATTTTATTAAATAAAAATCATGTTCTGTATGGAATTTGATTCATTTTTCAAACAATTTTACCTGTAATGTAACATGGTTGCATGTCGCTTTAGTCAAACATAACCATGCTGGAAGCTCCAAGAGTTCAGTCAGCACCTTTTCATTTAGTTCTAAATTACGCAGTTCTCCATGACCTTTAAGAGTACTTAAATGTAATTTATCAGGGGACAGATTTTTGGCAAACCTAAAGAGAAAAAATAATACTCTGAAACTTATGTAAATATGTCCAAGAAATAATATTCTTCACATAGGTAATTATATAAAAATAAAAAACCAATCTGAAAAAAATTTGTTTCAAAAATTCTGAATCTGGAATAAATCATGTATTATATGTATAAACACCTTAAATACCAAATATAACAACTTTAGTTAAGTTCGTCTAAGTATTTGACTAATCTGGATAACTGGGTCATCTTTTTTTCTGTAAGTAAACTATATTTTTAGTACAATGAAAAATAGAAGAATTAAATTTGGTATTGTTAAAGCTACCACAGGATAAGCCTTCAGTGAAATTTACACATTACAGATTGGGCCAATTTGGTAACTAGGCATAATAGTCACTTTCAAGCCCTAGAACCAAATATATAAAATTAACTAAATATATAAACTAAGAATATGACTAACCTGGATAACTGGGTCATCCTTTTTTCTGTAACTAAACTATATTTTTAGCACAATGAAAAACAGAAGAATTAAATTTGGAATTGTTAAAGGCTACCACAGCGTAAGCCTTCAGTAAGACTTGAAATTTACAAATTACAGATTGAGCCAATTGGGTAACTATGCATGATAGTAGTCACTTTCAAGCCCTAGAACTAAATAGAACTAAATATGTTCTGGTTTTTACTGAACTTTAAAGACATATATTCTATTATACATTGATCTATTCTATTATTCATCGATCTATTCTATTATTAATTTAGCTATTCTATTATTCATTTATCTATTATATTATACATTGATATTTTTTGCTATCTTAAATCAAATAATACATACTTATACAAGAAAAAGTCTTCAGAGGTGTGCTATTCAAATGTAAAGGAAACTTACTATATCTTAGCAATTAATACAGTGTCATCAAAATAGGGATAAGAAATAAGCACCACTTTTAGCTTGATATGAAATAAGCAATTAGATTAAAAAAATAAGATGTCCATTAAACTGTATATAGTTCAAAAATATTTAAGGATTTGTTAAATAACTTTTATTGTAATTTTTCATCTCAAAATGTAAATACACAGATTTCAAAATAATGAAATTTAAAAATATTGAAGAATAATGCTAAAAATATACCATTACTTAAATCTCACAAAGATTATCACAAAGTTTTTATTAAGAAAAATTTAGGAACTTAACATAGCAAACATATTTACTTCTTGTTTATGGTTTGTAGCTGCCATATTTCTACAAATTCTTTTACTATAGCATCAAAAGCATTTTCTTATCTTCTAAGTTATCAATATATAATATTTTCCCCCCATTTGTTACTTTCACTGCAGAACTAAAAGCTTTCATTCATATATAGTTTATTTTTGCATCTATTTTTACATATATGAATGTCAGATAAAATGCCTCTTTCTTGGATGAATCGTATAATATCTGCTTCACTCCTCAAATCAAAAGCTATCAATATTTTGTGGGAAAAAAGGCAAAAATACATAACAAATACTGTGATAACAAATGGCCTACTCGGAGCTATTTTCATGACTGATGGATTATAAGAGACTGCAGTTAAAAATGCAGACAGTTGGCAATGGTCTGTGACATATATTGCCAGTTTATCTACAATTTTGGTACCCTGTTACATAACTGGGGACTATTTCAAAAAACAAAAATCAGCATTATATTTAAAAGCCATTCTTATCTTATCTTGCTCATTTGCACTTTGACAGCTCAGAAAGATGGTTCAGTAGTTAAATCATCGAAAAAGTCCTGGAAATTTGTAAATATAATACTATTTTTGTCGACTTTTAAAATAATTGTTGGTCGAAGAGTTATTTTAACCTAAATAGCTGAAGACATAAAAGTAAGAAAATATCAAAATTTCCTAATAGCAAATGTATATATTTTCTTATATCCCCAACAGATTTACTACTAAATTTACTGGAATCAAAATCTTCTAGACCAATTTATAAAAATGGGCAATTTTTTAACATTATAGTTTGAAAAGCACTTTATCTGTTTTTCTGAAAATTATTTGTAACCATTTACAACTCCTCCATTGTGGAATAAAGCAAAAACATACACAGAATGAAATATCTTCAGTACTTTTCCGTTTCGCCGGCGCAAATCTCGCCAAGCAGACTTTATTGGTGACAACATACAGTATACACATAAAAAATATTTAAAAAAATGTTAGTTCTAAGAATTCTTTTTTCGAAGGCATAAACATTTTAATATCGCTTAAAATTTTATAAAAAGCCAATAAATAAAGACAATAAATTTGTAAAAAGATATTAATTTAAGAATTTACTATGCTTTCATGGTTCAACATCCTGATTCGCCGGTTCATATCACATGACCCCAAGGGATCTCATCTCACGTAAACTACTCTACAATAATATTAATGCTCTCAGTAATTATCTACATTAATTTCAAGTTAAATCTTAATTTGAAACACAAGTTTAAATGCAAGAAATATTTCAATTTGAACGAATAGCTTACTCAGAAATTTTGTAAAACTGCAGTGCTTTACTTCGCTAATGCATTCTCATTAGAATTGATGAATTTAACCCTTGACTTTACCTTTTCTATTTTTTTGGCTTCGGGTAAGCGCTGTGACTGCATCCTAATTGACTTAATTACCGAAAATGGCCTTATACATAAAACTAAACTATCTGATAAAAATTCTATGTAATTATATGCCAGTATTGAAAGAAACAATCAATCTGATAAGAAAAAGCTGCTACTTGTTGAAAATGAGGCATAAAAGGTTACCAGTGAGAATATTCCGTTTGGTATCAGTTGTACCATTTTTCACGACTTTATTGCTTGCGCCGGCAAAACGGAAAAGTACCATATCTTCTATCAAGCATTAAGAGTATTCTATGCAGAAATATTTCAAACTCAGAGAATGGTAACCACTAAAAAACGTTTTTTTACTGTTTGTAAGCTCACACCAACACATTTTATAAAATCAATATATTTAAAAATAAATTCTATATTAAACATATTCTATAAATAAAAAACACTACTTTTAAATACATTGCATAAATTATATAAATAGATAAGTTAAATTCAAAAGAAATCAAAAACAGAAATGAGGATTTAAAACTTGTTATAAGGAAAAGATTAGTTTTCGGATTACATGCTCTAACTAGACAAGTACTCGCACTACATGGCCAATATAACCTTAGAACAGTTCCGAGGGTTCAACTCCCTTTTCCGCACCTTGTAGAGTATTGGCAAAAATCGCCGGCGCAAATCTCGCCAAGCAGACTTTATTGGCGATAACACACAGTATACATATAAAAAATGTCAGTTCTAAGAATTTTTTATTTTGAAGGCATAAATATTTTAATATCGTTTAAAATTTTGTAAAAACACAATAAATTTTGTAAAAGACAAAGAATTTGTAAAAAGACATTAAGAATTTATGGCTAATCTTTGGGATATGGTAACAGGTAGTTTGGCGACATTTTGGTAGGCGATAAAGGTTACTACCTAGGACTTTGGGAATAATGTGAAAAGTACTCAGTTCCGATTACGCATTATTTTGTGTGAGGGAAATGAGAGATCATGAGATATGTCATGTGACATTAATGGACGAATTACAGTTCTTTAATCGGAAAAGGGGGGAAATCTGGAAAAAATCTGGAAATTTTTATTTAGCTTCATTCTGTGTTGTGTGAAACAGTGTTGGTTAATTTTTGGATCCCATGGCCCTATCTAAAGTGAATTCGAAATGGGTATTTAGTGGGATTGAAAGGGGTAGTAATAAGTGTTTTTTTTTTTTTAAGGTTGTGGCGAGATAGAAGTAAAGATTGCTTATTAAGTTTTATTAAGCAGTATATTCTACCTGGTACAGTATCTGATTGCTGGAAGTCATATGTCTGTTTGGAGGATGAAGGTTTTCAACATCTTGCTGTGAACCATAAGTATGATTTTAAAGATCCTGAAACAGGCGCACATACGATTGCTTTTTATTTAGCGGAGGAAATAATAAAAGTTTATCCGCCACGTAATCAAGATTCTGAAGAAGATTAGGTAAGTTAGTATTTTTAATTATTTGAGGATATTATTTTTATGCATTGTTCTAAATGTAAGGAGTAAATAAAGTAATATGGTATTATTGGAAAATTGTTACTAGCAATAATTTAGTTTAAAGTACGTAGGTAAGTTGAAAAATAAGTTTTCCCTGTCGACTGTGGTCAGAGTTGTGTATGAAAGTCAAAAAATAGAATGAGACATTAAAGATATGACATACCTTTATTTTTCCACATAGGTACCAAGTACATTGAGACATTTGTCATATCGCTTGATAAGCTTCAAAAAAGTCCTCCAGGAAAAAATCACGCTTTGCATATGGAAGAAGCGTTGAACGGCTATGGGCGAAAGGCGACACAGCAGGAAAACGCGCAAGGTCACCGATACACCATTGGGTAGAGGTCGCTGCAAATCAAGCAGATGGCGCTGTTGCAGTGCCTGCGCAAAGCGGAGACCAGCCTCTCATTTGAGCCCCAGTAGGTATGGAGAGAAGGTGCGTTTTGAATTCGTGGTCAAAGGAGGAAGTGAGAGCGGTTATCCACTATGAATGGGCACGTGGAGTATCAGGAACAGAAATTCATAACCGCCTCGTGGAAGTCTATGGGCCAGGTGTGATGTCGAAGCAAATGGTGCGGAGATGGTGTCGCACATTCAGTGATGGACGTCAGCAAGTGGAGGACATACCGAGAGCTGGACGGACGCGCACGGCCACTACAGATGCAAATGTCAGGAAGGTGGATGTCATGATTAAAGCGAACCAGCATATCACCATCAATGAAGTAGCGGAAGAACTTGGAATCTCACATGAGCGAGCTCAAAACATCATCCACGACATTCTTCGATGCAGAAAAGTGTCAGCACGATGGGTGCCCCGACAATTGACCTCGACACACAAGGAACAATGCATGGAGGTCAGCCTGGAACATCTCCTCTGTTACCATGAAGATGGCAATGACTTTCTGTTTCGGATTGTGACGAGGGATGAAACATGGGTCCACCATTTTACGCCAGAATCGAAGGCCGCATCTATGGAGTGGAAACATCCGTCATCACACCTGTCCGAAAGAAGTTCAAGACAACTCCCTCCGCAGGTAAAGTGCTCCTCACAGTTTTTTCTGGGACGCCCAAGGAGTTTTGTTGCTGGACTTTTTGGAGGTTGGAACATCAATGCATGCTACGCTACTGTGACACCCTGTCGAAATTGAAAGAGGCGATTCAGAAAAAGCGGCCTGGCCTTCTCACATCTGGCGTTCTGCTGCTGGATGACAATGCAAGACCACATTCTGCGACGGCAACGCAAAACCATATTGCAACTCTTGGTTGGGAGCGCCTACACCATCCGCCATACAGTCCTGATCTCGCACCAAGCAACTTCCATTTGTTTTCGGCTTTGAAGAAAAATCTTGGGGGAAGGCGCTTTGGAAGCAATACTGAAGTGAAAGAAGGCGTTCAACGCTTCCACCATATGCAAAGCCCTGATTTTTTCCTGGAGGGCTTTTTGAAGCTTATCAAGCGATATGACAAATGTCACAATGTACTTGGTACCTATGTGGAAAAATAAAGGTATGTCATATCTTTAATGTCTCATTCTATTTTTTGACTTTCATACACAACTCTGACCACAGTCGACAGGGGAAACTTATTTTTCAACTTACCCTCATAATTAGGATTGTAAGCTAATTTTTATTAATTTAATGTGCTTATTTATATTTTAAGTAGTGTTTTTAAATTTAATTATATTTTAATTAAATGATAGTTATTTTGTGAATTATATGTTTGTAGGAATTCGGTATACGTTTCAGTGGAAGTAAACATGCATGGCAATAATTTAAGTATTTCACACTAAGTATTTGCAACCATTTTTAATATTTGCGTTATGAATTTGTTGGTGACGTTTATAATAGATAATTTAGAGATAAAAGTTTCTGGATATTTTATTTATTTTATACGTGCAAATGTTCATCCTTGGAAAGGGTATATACTTTTTCGCGATCAGGTAATTTCATATATGTCCTTTTTACCGGATTTAAAGATTCAAAAAATTTTCATGCAATTTCGTGAAATTTTTCTAATTTATGAGAAAAAAGCAGTGTACATGGATATAGTGAAGAGTGAGCGCAATGCCATTTTTGTGCAATTCTGGGATGTTTTTTTAAGTAAAAATAAGTCGACGTGTACATGGTTTAGTTATATTTTAATTAAATTATAGTTATTTTGCGAATTTTCTGTTTGTAGCAATTTGGTATACGTTTCAGTTGAAGTAAACGTGCATGGAAATAATTTAAATATTTGACACTAAGTATTTGTAACCATTTTTAATGTTTGCGGTATAAATTCATTGGTGACGTTTATAATATAATAGATAATTTAGAGGGAAAAGTTTTTAGATATTTTATTTATTTTATACATGGAAATGCTCATCCTTGGAAAGCGTATATACTTTTTCGCGATCAGGTAATTTCATATATGTGCTTTTTATCGAGTTTCAAGATTCACAAAATTTTCCTGCATTTTCGTGCAAATTTTTTTAATTTATGAGAAAATAGCAGTGTAAATGGATAAAGTCAAGAGTGTGCGCAATGCCATTTTTGTGCAATTCTGGGATTTTTTTTAAGTAAAAATAGGTCGACGTGTACATGGTTACTGTGTATGTGCCATTCTGAAAAACGCGGCAAGGAGTTTGCGATTCTGCACTTTCTCCCAATTTTGCAGTTAATATTCGTCATAATTAAGCACTGTTGTTCCATAAAATTTCTAGCATAAGCATAATTCGGCTAGCAGATTGTTGGAAAAAATGTTGAGTAAATAAAGAAAAAGAAAAAAAAAAAAAAAAAAAAACTTGTCTTTACTTCGTGAAGACAAAATGGCAGCGAAAAAAAAAAAAGTAGAAAGTTGCTGTGGCAGGGTTGGTTGCCAAATTTTCGCCAAAAATCGCCAAGTTACCATAATCCAAAGATTAACAATTGAATCTATTGAATTAGCATAACACTGACAACTGTCAAAGTTCAAATAATGTAATAAGAATAAATCAGAAAAATGTTGCAAATAAAGATATTTACATAAAATAAATAGTTCATATTTTAAAATAATATAAATAATACTGTTCAACACCTAAAACTAAATTTAATTATCTGATCTCAGATTTTCTTTTAAAACAAACCATTTTTCATTCGTAAAATATAAGGATGCACTTGGTCTGGAAATCTATTGGAAAAATCTTTAAATAACAAATATGTAAAAAAAAGCATATTAATTTGAAATCTAAATTTAAACAAAATTTAATTTTAGATTGCTCTATAGAAAAATTTTATGAGCTTCAAGAGAGTGACATGGATCTCTCTTATTCAAGAAGCAAAATTGTTCAATTGCTACAAAGAAACGGCAGAAAAAGTTACTAAAAGTTTCTTTATACCATACTAGTACAGCAGACAATGATTTCAAAACTAAAATTTCAGAAAATATAATATTAACATATCATTTTCTGACATCATCAGTAATACTAAAACTTTTAATAATGCTTTTATTAACTACAACCTCCACATCTACCATTCTCTCATTGAATATACCACATAATTTCCCTTCTGCTTACAGAAATTAACATTATTCAACTATTTTTATATCCATGATTCATATAAAATTTACTTTTGAATTAAATTTAAGAGTAAAAAACTTCTATGACGCATGATAAAATTTCATGTAACCTTAGTAAACAAATTATATCGTTTTAATTATTCTACTTATAATGTTTCAAATGTGAGACATAGCTTTCTTGAAAGATAACACAGCATTTGTACGATATAAACAATCCCTATGTAACAAATTTTATCGTAAAAATGCTCTCCGTATGTCACTTATATTAACGGGTACATTAATGACAGTGCGCGTATTGAAAATCAAAAATAAGGAACTGCATTACACAAAATTTCAGGAAAATATAATTAGTTAAACCTTACTTTGATAAGTGCTTTAGCACTTGATTCTTGAATATGGAAGCCATCCGAAAGTGATGAAATTAACATTGGAGCCAATATTCATTCAACATAGCGGTTCTCATAAGATCTTGCTGTTCTTATTTATAAACATGCATTTCCTTAAGCTCTCTGTAAGACAGGAGGTTAAATTTATTCATGCGCGACGAACTGCTGGAGCCGTCAGACCACAGATGTTTACGAGCTATCAGCGGTTGCGGTTTCTTTAAGTCACCGGATTTAATTTTGCCAAGCGTCAAGCTTACTTCTGCTATTGGCCATTGTAATGACCGATAGAGGACGTTTCAAATTCGTCTGCAACTGCTAATAGACCTGAAGTCTGAGTTGTTTTTTACTGAGTTAGCTGCTGTAGAAGCTCTAGTATTACGATGAATAAAAAACTGCAGATTTCATCAATTTTGGAATTTATACAAGGTACCAGTTCGAGTAATTGTATAAAAGAAGGGGAAGCAATTTTGGCTTCGAAACGACTGATAATGTGCGGTATTAAGGCCCGGAATGATGAAGAAATCGCGATACAAGCATTATGTCTTCAATCAAGGTTCGACTTCTTCAACCGCCGCACGTGGTTAATGGAAGTATTCATTGAAAATGAAAGCAGATGGAAAATTAAGTCATTTCATTGTAGCTGCAAAGCTGGATCAGGCGAATCTTGCAAACATTGTGTTTCTGTTATGTTATTCTGCCTGTGAGTAAGTAAAGATTTAATAATTTTGAATTAGTTCAAATGTGTTATGTTTTTTTTCACTCAGCTATTGCTTTTTCTATTCATTAAATAAGCAAATAACCGTTCTTGATATAAAATTATTTTTATCTGGTATCAGTAATTTGCATTGATTAGATATTTTAACTAATTAAAATATGTATTTTTTTACATGCTGTGATTTTATATATTATAAAATTTGTCATCAAAATGGATAATTTGACATAAATCTAATAACAAAGTGGTCAAAGATATTTGTACTTTTCTGCTATTAGGACCTGGAATTCAGAAATGTAGGTACATATGTATGTATATTTCTGACCAGTTTCAGAAATGTAGATAAATATTTGTACATACGTGCGTGCATACACACATGCATAATAAAATTGATTTTTTATAATCATTTCTCGATATATTATCTGTAATAAAATTGAAAGTCAACTAGCAGCAATAGATGCCTTTCCCGAATAACTCGTGTGGGCAAAATAAAAAATTTAGGTCTAAAATTACTGCATGTTGTCTTTCTCGTAAAATTTTAAATTTCTTTCTGTATTAATTTACTTTCCTCCTAAAATTTAAAATTTTATATTTTATTTAAAGAATTAATTTTTATTGCAATTTCCTTAATGAAAGATAGATACTTTCTATTATATTTTAATGGAAATAAATAGTTCATGACAGTTTTTATAAAATTAAAGCCATTAAAAATCAAGGAAATAATTTTACCAACATACTTTAATTTGTGCAGGAACGATATTAATGAGCTGGAGGATTTATCTGCCACAGATATGAAATACAGTTGGAACACTAGGAAGTATAAGCATTTATATACTCCTGTTCCTGTGCAGGATTTCTGTCATGTGAAAACACCTCCAGAGCACAGTTTCTGTGAAGTGAAAAAGAGAAAGGTACGTGAAGAAATATGCGAATTCTTCAAAGACTCTGCATATGCAAAACATCGGGCAAGGTTTCTCGAAAAGAAAGAACTAACAGAAATGTAAGCATATCAGATAGAAATATATTTGTAACACTAATGAATATGAACATGATTTAGAAATAAGTTCAACTATTTTAATGATAACAATCATTTATCAAATAAGTATAAAAGACTTTCAGAATACAAGATTACATAAATTTTATTATGTATAAATAACACTCTCAATATACTAGTTTTTACGATAAAAATAACAGAAAAACAGTTCGGACATTTAATGCTATTTCCTATAACAAAACTGTGTGGCCTAATTTTAAATGTCGTAATTTTTTCTTTAAAGATACTATTCTAAATACTTTTTTTTATTTTTTTATTTATTTATTTATTTATTTTTTTCGATGATAATGTAAATATATTTTAACTACTTTCTTTTTTGTGTGTTTTATGTCTACATAAATTTACTATACACTGCCCTTTCATTTTTGTTTCCTGATGTAAATCACAAAAGCTCTGACATTGGACCCTAGTCTGGACACCGTCGAGATAGAAGAACGGGTCGCTTTTTGCGATCTACTCGACAAAGAGCGAGTCTGGTGTCATCGTCTCGATCATTACAGAGATCGACGCGTCGGAAATTTTTCCGTCAGCTGGACAGCTGCCGTTTAAGTTTCTGACTGTCGTTTTAGAGCTAAACTGAGGACACGGAGGTCACGGATTGTTTTTGAAAGTGTACGTAATAGATATTTTAATATCTTAAGATTTGTGAAAAACTCGAGTATTTCGCTATAGAAATAACGCATTTGATGCTGACGATTCTACATTATTTATTTATTCTACATTACCAATGCCTTAATTAAATTTTAGTGAAAATAATATATTTGGTGTTTTCCTATTTCACATATAAAGAAACGGTGCATACATTTAATTTTAAATTGTAATTTTTAAAATAATGTATATATCAATGTACTTAATTTTTATGCTTTGATGAGTAATTTATAAATTTTGATATTTTATGTTTTATATTATAATGTATTTCCCTCTACTTTTATTTGAATTTGTAGTGTATAAAAATGTAATACATTAGACATGAATTAAAGAATATGCAGTATATAATTCAAACTATGCACATCCTAAATTCAACATTTACATTAAATTGCTTTGAGTTAAAAAATTTATTTAAGTAGTTTTAACTGTACCGATATCAATGTCAATTTCCAATAGTTTCTAGAATCTCTTGTATAAAACAAGTCAAATTCCTGTATGATTTTAGGTTAAATTCTTGTCAATATTATAATGCAAGATTTATAATTAGTTATCAGATTTTTTAATATCGTCTACTTTTAGATATTACATCAGTTTTGTATATATTTATTCAGATCAAAAAAGTGTTTAGTTTTGGTTTTATGTAGCTACGGCAAAGCCTCGAGGGCTATCTGCCTAAAGTGAGGGTTGCCTTCGTGGAGGACATTCTAAGGAAAACTAGCTCGTATACACGTAACGCACGGGGAAAACCACGAAAACGTCCATGCAACCAGCCCGTTCGCGAGATTCCAACCTTGGACCGAACTTCTAGTGTTCAGCGATTTTACCGGCCGCTGGTAGGATCGATTTAAAAAGGGTATAAATATATATGTACTGCAATTTCTTTCACTGCATCTGTTAATATCTTTATACAGTTATATATATGTATTTAAAACTGATTTTCTGTGCCTTAAACTTCTATGCTTCTGGAAGTTACCAATGATATATCTGTCATTACCAATGATATATTGGTAATGACAGATATATCAATGTAACTGATATGTCAATGTATTTGTCATAACCAATGATATATTGGTAATGACAGATACATTGTTAATGACGCCCATGAGTCCAGCCCGTTCGCGGGATTCGAACCTCGGACCGCACTACCAGTTTTCGGAGATTTTACCGCTCGGCCACTAGTGGGATCGACTTAAAAAAGGGCATAAATAGGAATATGTACTGCAATTTCCTTTCAATGCATATATTAATATATTTATAATACATTTATATATACATATAGTTATTTTATTTAAAACAGGTTTGTATGCCTTATTTTTATGCTTTTGGAAATTACGAGAATATGTTGTTAATGACAGATATATCGGTTATTTGAGATATGTTGGTAATGCAACAAACCCGTTCGCAGTATTTGGACCTCGGACCGAACTACCAGTGTTCAGCGATTTTACCACACGGTCACTGGTGGAATAGATTTAAAAAGGGTATAAATAGGAATATGTATTGCAATTTCCTTTCACTGCATCTTCACTACTTTTGGTTTTGACTTTTACCCTTGCTTGCATGAAGTTTGGAAAAGGCCATTTCATTCTGTGTTTAAAATATCCATTAACTTTCCCCATTTCTTTTTTCCATACTCTTTATTAAATCCAGCAGCATATTTTTTTTAAAAATTTCACCATTTACTCGAACTCGATTTTGTTTCTACCGCCGTCCTCAGTAATAAGCACGTGCGAAACAGCCCCTTTGACAACAAACTACCCTTTCCCCTGAGCCTGGAGCAAAGTAGAGGGGAGATAGACTGGTTGCTATGCAATAAATGTCACTTCCGCGCGGAATTTCCACTTCACTTTCCGCCGACGGAATTTGAAGGGACCAGACTCGCTCTCCCTTCTGCTGTCGAGTGGAAAGAGAATCCCGACTGTTTTTCCGTTATCGATCTCGACCGGTGTCCAGACTAGACCCCATTATTGGCAAACATAAATTAACAGATGTATCATTCATTCTGCAGTCCTGTATGTCACTTTAGTGGATAGCATTTACATCCAAAAAGTTCCAATTAGTGATCTGTGGAGACTTCTTCGCTGAAGAGTAAGCTGATAAATAACGATAGAGATATTTATATTTTGCCGATGAGATAAAGAATGATATAGATACCTAATAATATTTTACAATAGATTTAAGAAAGCCAGTTATTTCTAATTTGTTTGCCCTGATCTACATTCTGTGGCACCCGTATTTCATCGCTTAGCCTGCCCTTACTTATTCAATTTGTGATAATTCACTCTCTGCTTCCATGAATGTGTCCCAACCCGCGATATTTCTAACTCTTCGTACCTTCTTCACTTAAGAGGGAACATTGCAGGGAGCCATTTATAGACGGTACACGGTACCACATGGTCTCACATCCTCTCTTGCATGTGAATACTGTTTCATTGAATGAATGATGTACAGTTTATATTTACCAAAAGAGAAACTAAAAATTTACTTTTTAGTTAGTTTAGAACATGTTTGTACATAAGTTTGACAGCCCTGTTGAGATTCCTTCAACAGATTGGAAAATATTGCGTTAACCTATAACGTAAAATTTAGACTTTTTTGAGGCTAATAACAATTCAATACTTTTCTATGGTGCATCCTTATTGTTTCAAGTTCACTGTCTCTTGCTCGTTTACTGAATTCTCTTCAGTCATTTTTTGGTGGATGCACTATTTCGAACTAAGTAGTCTGTAAGTCTTCTCCATTTTTATCATCTACATTTTCAAGTTCATCAGTAAGGTGTACTGTTACAACACCTTCGTTGCCTTAGCTTTCCTCCTATAATAACAAATATCAGTTCGTTCAAGCTCTTAATTAGAGGCAGTTGCTTTCATTTTGCAATTTAGTAAGTAGTCAAGATTATCACAAGTGCAGCTGATAGTTTCTTCCAAAACTTATAGTCCAAAGGGGCAATTTGCTCAGAAGGACTATTAATTTTGTTTTGGCATTTTGCGTCGATTCACTTTTAAAACTGTTGCTACCAAATGTTATTGCTCTGTATTATATTTAAAGAAATTAAATAATAAAGAATCTGCATAGATGTATGTATGTTTCTCGCATTATGATTAAACAACAGTATGTAGAGCCATTGAATTTTGAATGACGTAATCCTCCTACGAATATGGGCACGTGGAAGACCAAATTTGAAATTTGTTTTATTATAGACTTTATTTTGTAAAACTTTAACTAATTTTTGTGGCAACACTCTACGGGGAGGGGAACCTTTCTATCTCCAGCACACGGAACTGTGTATGGGAAATTCTCAAGATATGCTCATTTAAAAAGTATTTTGAGATATTGCTCTTGAACTGAATTTTATGGTTCAAGTGCGAAGAACATGATATTTAATAAACAAAGGTAACATAAAAAATGTTAAAAAAACACCCCTTTGAACGTAATTTAAAATCTGAAGCGTTTAAGATTTTTTTTATTTTCGTCGGGAGTTTTTCCCTGTAAATGTATTTCATTGCTAATATGGAATCTTTATCCATTGGCTGGATTCGTGAAATCACATCGGATGGAAAAAAATTTTAGTTCTTTATTACCAGCTGTTAGCTAAATGGAATTGACATAGTGCACCATCAGTTAGAATTTTTATTTGGTTGGGAGGGGAGTGGAAGGAGAGATTTTTTCTGTGCAACAACTTGTTTACTCTCGGACAAAACTTCAATGTCCCTTCCATCACAAGACTGAGAATTAATTAGGAATTTTAGCTTTCAAAACATGGCTCCAAATCTTGGGATTATAAACCATCAAAATAAAGTGTAACGGTAATACACTACATTACCATTACACTTTATTTTGATGGTTTATAATCCTAGATTTTTTTTCCTGTTGCATTTTTAATGTTTTAGATGGAAGGCATTGCAAATTTGATCTAGGAGTAATTTTTTTGTATAATCATTAAATTCTTTAATAAAAAATTCTGCAGCTAAAATTTTTGAATGCATTTTTTAAAACATATGGACTAGCCTAATGATACATTACATGAGCTGAATTAGAAAAAATAATGCTTTTGCCATCCACTTTGAGTCTCAGATACAAAGGCTTTCTGCTTATTTTTGAATAAAGTAAGGATGAAGATTTTTGAACCAACTTCAGTGTTTGTCCCACCTCCAACGTTGAATGCAAATTTAGACTTTTTCCTTGGTTTAAATGTCAATACCCAACTCCATAGCAAATTTGTGAATCAATTTTCTTTCCTCTTAGCAATTGCATCCAATTTTTGCTTAGTCAATAAATATTTTTTTTCATTTAATTCCCTGTTTAGGCTTATTCCTTCTTGCATAAAATTAAAATACACCTGCCTCTATATACATAAAACTGAGTCCCATTAAACTCGATATAAGTATGCATAAAAAGGGTATGTGGGATCTAAGAGATTTTTTCTGGCACAGTAAATTTCATTTCTCAGTTCCTATAAAACTGGTCGGTGACACTGAAAAGTAGTACACTGAAATACTATCACATTTGATTTCAACAGTACAGAAATTAAAAATCTGTAAATAAAGCATTGAAATACTGCACTTAATAAGTTTTAATTTAAAATGCCTAATTTTTCAAACACTCTATAATAACTTAGGTATCACTTTCTTAAAATCATTATTAGATTAAGACATTTGGGATTGACTTGGCCAATTTTGGATTTGCAATTACATCATTTTCAGTACCTTTTCCTAGTTTTATTTGTCATACAGTGGAGCATAACTTTTCTTAAGATTAAAATAAATTCCTTTGAAGGCAACCCAGGTTATCTCCAAAATATGGCAGCACTCATTATGTATGGATTTACCGTTGCATAATCATGCGATTTTTTGCAAATTCGCTACTTTTGACAAATTTTCAGATACTTCAGAAAAAAAATATTTTAACTTATCATAAAATTCATATATTTTAATGTAATTAAAATTAATTTATAGCAAAATGTAATCAATTATCTTGGCTCAAATAAAAGTTGGTAGCTGGCAAACTCGCAGTCGTAGCCCACGAGTGCATGGGTACTCAATGTTTGACAATAGTAGCTGGTATTTTCAGTTGTTTCACCGACTGCTTTCCTTAATATTTTGATGATTTGGCAATAGTCTTGCAAAGTGTAAGTCAGATTATAGCTGCTGAATTTACTAAAGTGTGAATTATGAGTAACATGAAAAAATTACCAGCTTTCAAAATGCTTAGCTTAAAATAGCCATGCTTGAGAACTGGATAGAAAGAATGAAACAAAAACAAGACAAGAGCTTATTGCAAGTTATATACATATGAACTGTGGATGCATAAAATTGATTCAATGAAGCAGAGTACTTCTTCCAACAAACAAACAAAATTTTACCTTTGACAACAGATGCTTGTATTAGATAATTGCCATATTCACTGCATTTGTTCTATATTATATTTTACTTGATTAAACCCTACTTGATTAATTTTAAAATGAATTTTTTACGAATATTTGCTTTACAAAACAGATTCAAAATTTCAGAAGACATGAATATCTTCTTATAATTGAAATAACTACAATATAAAAACACAAATTTAATTACGAAAGCAGGTAGCTCTTTATCAGCAACGAAAATTTGATGCAATTAAACAATCAGAACGAAATATTAACTGAGAAGAATCAATAATTAAAGTAAAGCAAACACAATAAATAAATAAGAAAAATTAAACCACCAAATTAAAAGAATTGGCACAATATTACCAATCCAAAAGTGAGAAATAATGGAAATGAATAAATTAACCAAAAAATAACTAAAAGAAAAAAAAAAAAAAAAAATGGAGACTTAAACCATAGCAATATGATTTTGAAATTTGAATCAAAAGTAATATATGCAATATAACAATTAAGAATTGAATGGCAATTTTAATTCCATCATTTTCAGAACCTTTAGTGCTGAATTCATAATGACATCAGGGTCATGCGAGGTGAAGAATCTATGATGTCACAAAATCACGTGATCTCCGACATCACATGCTACTTTTTGTGACTTTTTGATTCTTCTCTTGCTACTTAGGCTCAGAAATTTCTGGCAACAATGCATGGATTTGACATTTAATGATCCCTTAAGAATTAATTACATTAAAATAAAAATGTTTACCTTATACATATTTTAAATATACAGTTACATAACAACAGATTCCAAAAATCAAAAAGAAAACTGATAAGTATGCATAATATATCTACTCAGAGAAAGTTGTTTCATGAAATAGCTTACACTGACACAAAATATTTTCACAAATTAAATGCAAGAGATTTTGTTCAAATATCTTTATTTCAATGATTGTTTCATAATTACATAAAACATTTCTTCAATGCATAAAATAATTATAAAGTCTCATACGCATCAGCAGGCATTCCTAGAAATATATTCCATTTTAAATTTGGCAACTAAGGATATATATCTGTCACTCTCCAAAAACATATGCAAACATTCGAACATGCAAGAAAACATTATGTACAGTTCATAATTTAAACTTGTTTCAAGCAATTACATATTTACATAAGTTCTCATGATTCATTTTTTAACAAACTTCATACAAGCAATCCATTATTTTATTAAAATTATTTCTTAAAACCAATCTCAGTTATACACACAAATGCTTATTTATAACAAAATATATAGTACCACAATTGTTGATTTGCATAGGTCTAAATTGGATACTGAATGAGTATCTATTTTCTAAACACAATTAAATTATAGAATACTGAAAAAAAAAAAAAAAAAAAAAAAAAAAAAAAAAAATTGCTCATATAAATTTATTGCTTAAAAACGAACACTGATTATAATTAGAATATTACAAAATATTAATAGAGCAAAATGTTTTAAAAGCCATAAGTAACAATGGGGAAAGAACTTAACATAAAAAAATGAATGATTTAATGAAGATTGAGCACTTGATGATCTGTATTATTGAAAAATGAATGTAGAATAAAAAATAAACCAAGAAACTGATTATTTTCACAATTATGTAACTGAACTTGGTGGTATAAAAAATTAAATATAACCATAACATGTATATCAGTGCAAACTAAGAACACACAATGCAATTTTTTGTTATACATCACTAAAAAGGACATTAAAAACAATGAAAATTTATAGTAAACTGTACATTAAAAATGAATAATGGTAAGCTAATATATTAAAATTTAAAGATAATATTCTAAAATATATCTTTTTTTATCTCATTCTTAATTAAAAACAGATTTTTAACAGTTAAGTAGAAAGAAAGTTTAATTACATGAAAATCTTTTAAATCCAACTTTTTTAAAGGTTCATAAATAAGATCATAATATTATACAGAAAAATAGTCTTCCATGGTATTTAAAAAAATTGCAAGCATATAAATTTTTTTTATATATCTCCAATAGATATACATTCTTTTAAATAAGCTATTAACTACTTAGTGCCTTTCCTTACCAACTTTCTATCTGCTTCAGTTTATCTACAAAATACATTTCACATTTTATACTTTAAGGCCTGATAATTAAAATGGTTTAGAACTCAGAACACCATAAACATAAAAATTAAATACACCAAAAGTCAAACAAATTAATATTACATACATAAACTAGATTACTAAAATTTCACATTTATTATGAATGAATAATGTCTTAATTATATGTATTTAAATTAATCTTACAATAAAACTTCATAATTCATTTGTTTCAAATATATTTATAATAATATTTCTTTTACAGAACGGACTAGAATTGATAATTATTTCTTATGAAATGGATACAATGCACTATGCATTCAAGAAAGATACAGTTACAGAAATGATTTAATGTTAATTTCAAATCTGAAATGTTACTGTAGCTTTGAATGAAAAATATGGACAAGTATTTTCAACAAAAAATAAAAACAGTGCAAATATCTTATTTACAGTTGCACAATTATCACTTTTCTGTGATGATGGCACTTTGAAACTCAACTAATAAAACTTTTGCCATATATCACTGCATAACTTCTATACTAAATAACAATTTCAAAACTCTTTATGAGTACTCCAATTGTAAGCTGCATTAACTGCATTTATGCTATTTAAAGCTTACCCACAGCACAATTAGCATAGATGCAGTTAAAAACTTTCTTTCCAATAACATACCACAGTTTATAACAGAAATTTATTCATGACTGTCAGGAATCTTTGGTACGGGACTGTAGTTTAATTGGAACTTACCTGTAAAATAAAATAAATTAAAAAAATTATATTACATACAATAAGAGCAAATAATCAGTTACCAGCACTTAATCATAGTATACTTCATAATACATATATTCTTATGCACTAGAAAGACAATTTTGAAATACCTTGCTACTCTTTTTTCCCCGATTCATTTTTACTGGCAATATCACATCTTGGACTATAAAATTATATTTTCTGGTGAGGAAAGTTTTAACGTAGACATTCTGATTAGGCTTTATTCAAACTGGCATCACTTTAACCCTCTCACTGCGCACTTTTTTTTTTTTAAATCAAAATAAGTTCAAAAATTGCATAATTTTTTTATTACCTATTTCAAATCTACATATAATTTTACAGTTAAAATACACAAAATTTTTTTGTAAAAGAGTTTCTTTTCAATATAGAATTAGATCATAGAAAAAGGTTGTCATAATACTGAAACTGAAGAATAAGGATATAAAAGGAAAATTTTGAAAATGAATATTGGTTAAATTATGATTTATTTTATAAAATACAAAGGTAAAACATATATACAGTCAAAAGTCGTTAATTCGGACACCCATAATCCGGACCTCAAAGCTACAAACTTTCTGCGCATGCGTCGCGTTCACGCATGCCCACAGGCGTTTCCGAGAGCGCGTAAGACCCTTACGGCTGCGAATATGTTTGTGCGCATGCGCGTTTAATGTGTAACGGAGTATACGCTAAGCTAAAGTTATCTAATTCAGTTAATGTTGCAGATTGCGTTGTTCCTTAATCTTCGAAATGGATACGGCTTATTATTTTTTGCAGACTGTTAGAGCAATTTTATAAAAGTAAGCTTGAACTTTCGATTATGTCAAATAGAATTTCCGATATATATTTACTACAAAGCGAAAGTATGTTTTGAAATCCGAAATCTGTTTATCAATTTCACGCTGCTCTGCCGCAAAGGGGGGCAGAAACGTCATTATTAGATTATGATAGATTAGAAAGATTATGTCAAATAGAATTTCCGATATATATTTACTAATATGTAATTTGTATCTACAAAGCGAAAGTATGTTTTGAAATCCGAAATCTGTTTATCAATTTCACCCGGCTGATTGAAAATTGATCTGTCAGCACTATCCTTATCTTCAGGGCAGATGTTTTTATTTTATTTGGTTTATAATTCCGTACTAAGTGTAGTATTTCATTTCGATGTATGTCTTTGATATGATTTAAATCAAGTTCCTCGTCATTATATCGCTTCCGATAGTGAAGAAAGTGACCCAGAGGTTATTGAAAACGAAAACATTTCGATTGACAAATTAGTCGGTATTCTCAACACAGCAATTATAGGACTGGAACAGCGGAACTTTGTAACTAAACAAGAAATTATGTCTGTTTTAATAGAATTAAAGAGAAAGTATTATCACATGAACGAAGCAACTTACATTGAAGAAATGTTTAATAAAGTAAACAAATAAATATTAAGCTTTTTCTTTTTGTAATTTTGATACCCTTTAGATCATAATTGTTCTTTATTTCATAAATTACGGTTTCATATTTTTAATTTTGTAATTTCTGCATGCCATCTTACCAGATTTAAACTGATGATCTATAATCCGGAATCGCCGAAGTCCCGACGAGTCCGGATTAACGACTTTTGACTGTACTAATGAAAATATTTGCATATGAATTTAGCATCACTGTCGAACATTTTCAACAGAAACTGAATTTTCAGATTCATTACTATGCACAGAGGAATCCGAGAAATTCTCATTAGTTTCACTATAACTATCTTGAATATACTTGAAATCAGAGTCAGAACTACGAGGGCTATCCAGAAAGTAGATTACGTTTTGGAATAAAAAAATAAACAAAGTATAGGAAACAAATTTTATTATATACAGATGAAAGCCACACTCAAATACTACTTTTCTACATAGTCACCATACAAATTAAGGCATTTATCGTAGCGATGTACGAGCTTGGAAATTCCTTCGTCGAAAAATTTGGCCGCCTGCGCCTTCAACCACTTCGTTACCTCTTCTTGCAGCTGTGCGTTGTCATCAAAACTTTTCGCTGATGATTTCGTGCAACAAACTTCGCGAAATTTGTGGAAAACTCAAAGAAAGTTCCGTTATTGTGAAATTTCGATTTTCACGGACTTTAGCATCGACTTTTTCGAGAAGTTCGGCGGTCACTATGCTGGGTCTCCCACTTCGATCTTCGTCGTGAACATTGGTTCGGCCATTTTGAAATCTTATGACCCACCGACGCACTCCACCTTCAGTGATAATGTTGTCCCCCATACACTTCACGAAGCTGCCGATAGATTTCTATCGGTTTACAGTTTTTTGCAGTCAGAAACCTTATTACTGAGCGCACCTCGCAGCTCGCGGGATTTTCAATTAACGCAGACATTTCAAACCGTCACAGTATCTGAACGGAGCACAGCACGAACCTCTCACTAGCACGGCTAGATGCAGACTGAGCTGCGCAACGCTCTGACCCCAAGATGGCCGCGCTAGCCCCGCCCCTAGCGGACACAGACGGAAACGTAATCTACTTCCTGGATGGCCCTCGTACTATCAGTGTTGGAAATATTGTCAGGAATATACAAGGCCTGGCTATTAATTTCCAGGACCGATGTAACTGTAGGAGAACGAAAAGTCGGGAGATGGCACATATTGAAGAGCATTTTCTTGCGCATGTGCAGTGCAGTTCAGTCAGCGCCATTCTGAAGTCGTGGAATAGAGCATTAAAACATAGCTCTTAAATTCCTATTGTGAAAATGAAGCAAAGAATTAACATTAAATTTTGCTTCAAATTGGGCAAGACAGCTGCGGAAACTTACGAAATGTTAAAACAAGTTTAAAGCCAGGAAGCATGATCCCACTCAAGAACTTTTAAATGGTTTAAATTTAAACACTTTTGGAACGGGCGAAAAATCGTCGAAGATGATCCACACACAGGTTGGCCGCAGTCCGTATGCACGCCCGAAGCAATTGAAAAAGTTCGCGATATGGTGAAATGTGATCGTCGATTGACTATTTGAGTACTCACCAATTAATTCGACATGGACAAAGAGACGGTTTGGCGAATTTTGATGCAAGACCTAGGCAAACAACGCAAGATTTGTTTCAGATTCGTTCCTCACCATTTAAGAGACGAACAAAAGCAATTAAGACTGGACGCATGTGGCAAACTTATTGACATGCTGATGCTGACACTGCATTCCTGGATGGGTAGTCACGGGAGACGAGTCTTGGTGTTATCAATACGACCCTGAAACCAAGCGTCAAAGCTCCAAATGGCGGTCTCCCAAGTTCACCAAGGCAGAAAAAATTTCGATTTTAAAAGTCCAAAATCTAGGTCATGTTAATCGCATCCTTCGATTGTGATGGACTCATTCATCATTAATTTCTTCCTCCTAACATGACTATCAACGGACAGTTCTACACAGAAGTTCTTGACCAACTTCGAAAACGAATTCGTACAGTGAGGCCTCATTTTCAACAAAATAAGAGTTGTCTACTGCTACATGACAATGCCCGCCCACACATTGCGTTGCCTGTGAGGTGATTCTTAGCCCAGCATGGTGTCATCGAAATGCAGCATCCACCATACTCTTCAGACATAGCACCCGTAGACTTTTTCCTGTTTTCTCAGCTGAAAAATTCGCTAAAGGGAACAAGATTTCAGGATGTCGAAGCCATCAAGAAAACTGTAACGTCACTATTAAAAAGCATTCCAAAAGAGCACTTTACAACTTCTTTCCGAAATTTGTACAGCCGAGCACAGATGTGCATTACGGCTGATTAAAATTACTTTGAATCATTAAATGGCTACGTGCTTAACCTTTTTTTCTTCTGAGTTATTCCATGAGTCCTGGAAATTAATAGCCGGACCTTGTAGTTTATATTTTTCTGAAAAGCGTGCGCAAAATGCTACATTACGTATTTTTATATATTTGGCAGAAATGTGGACAACTAATGCCATCTGTTAGCCCACATCTAAATAAACAATTAAACATCACAAAAAAGTTGAAAGGAAACCTTGAACACAGAAGGAGCGGGTTGCACAGTTAACCGTCTATTTTATTATTTATTTATTATTTTGCGCAAATTTTGCTACTTTTACATTGCCTGTGGAAATCGCAGAATGTGCAGCGAGAGGGTTAATGGTTGCCTAATCAAGTTCTAATTAGCCATAAAGTATGGAGTGATTCACAATGATACTAAATTGGCTTGTATTTCTTATTATCTTATTATATATTCTTATTCTTGCAGCAATAAAATTACTATAAGAATAATTTTACAAATTTGTGTGGCACTGCTAGTACACCTTGATTTATATATAAAAGCATTATGTGTAGTACAATGCATATTTTAAAATGATAATGTATGGAAATAAAAAAAAAAATCTTATTCTCAAAATAAAGGAAACAAACAAAAGCCAAAAGAGCTTTTATGATTCACTCAGAACAAATGAGATTAAATTAAAGAGTGATTTCAGTGACAGGCAAGTTATGACTAAATTACATTCAACTGTTTTTCATTTAAGAATACATTAAAAAGATTTTTGATTCAAATTGTACAGTAAATCAAAGAGTTTCAATGAGAAAATTAGCTTTATTATTTGTATTATTATAACTTGGTGCTTTTAAGAACATGCAAGAATTATCTGTTCCCTTTTTTTCTCATTTCCTCCTCAAATGCTTCTAAAAACAGATTAAAGAATTTCATTTGATATGAGATATAGTACTAAAACAATTCAAAATCTGTCAAACAAGCTTATATGGATAATATAATCATGCTTCCTGTTCAAAATAGATAAAAATTTACAACTGGTGCAGGAACAGTAAATAAAGTCTGTCAAATCTGGTCACAGATAAATTAGTCATGCTTCCTATCTACTAATACAATATTCATGATTTACTATAGTCTTCAAAAGTATTTTCCACTTTAAATAAATGCATAGTTCATAAGAGACTAAATATAAATTCAGCAAGAATAGACTATTACATAGCAAAGTCTTCCCATCACAACGAGTGTAAAAATGCCCCCTAATTTATGCTAATGTCTTATTGCTTATGCAGTTCCATAGTAGTAAGCATGATTTTCAGTATCTTAATTCACTGAAACTATTAATGTTACAAAAGACAGGTACTGTGTTTCTTCTTTTGTTCTAAAGTATCTTGAGAATAAAACTACAACATTTCTATCTCCTGTTTTCATTCATACCAAGAGAAGGTTGGCTCTCTATGCAAGTACAATGCACAAAAAAACTTGTTTACTTTAGTTAGTGTTTAACTGTTTACTATATAAAACTTACCAACTTTGTATTATTTAATTACATTGATAAATATCACTTATCATATAGTATTCTCTAGAGTTTTATGTAACTGTTAAAAGTCCTGGAATTACCTATAGATACAACAATACTAGTGTAAATTCATCAAATGCATATATGTTATGTTTATTGCTGTTAATTTTTATATAAAATTTATATTTTACCTGTTTTACTTAAATCATCTATCGTCTGTTCTTTGCACTCTTGACCTTGATGACCTTTACTCCCACAATTATAACAATACAGAAGTTTTATAGGTACAGCAGCAGTCTGAGGAAATGCACCATAGCACTGAGATGCTGGAGAAGCAACTTGCCCAGGATTATTCTGAGATGATGGAGATTGTAATGTAAAAGTTTGTCCAGGATACATAAGCTCTGGAGATATTGCAGTTATCCCATTTGGCAAGGCATAGCTGAAACCCTGACCAGGACTTGCTAATCCAGGCTGTGGTACATAACCATTTGCTGGAGCCTGTGCCTGAAGGAATGGTATGGAATGATGAAATACATATGGCATTCCCAAGTAAGGCAGTGATACTGGCACAGCTGAGGGCTGAGGGTTAGCTCCAGGGGACATTGATGGTGAAGGAGCAGGGGACGGCCTCGCAGAGTTAGTAGTAAAACATGAACATGAAACCGCTGTTAACTGAGTTGTAGATGACAGAATATAACCAGTTGCATAAGGAGTCTCTCCTGGCTGCTGCATAGGTTTTGCTATGATATCACCATCTCTAACTGAAGGATTTTTTTGGTTTTGTCTATTATTAGAGGCTCCTGAGTTGGTAACTACAGTCACATTACTACTTTTATGTGTGGTGATACAGCAAGTAGCACTGGGTACAGTGGCACAACCAGATGTTACAACAGGAAATGGTGAAACTGTCGATATAGGTAAATTGGTTGATGATAAAACTCTGTCTGGAGTTACTGCATGGGACCTTGGAGGTCCGGGCAGAAATGTAAGTGCACTTGGTAAGGGAATCCTTGAATACTGATTATCAAAAACAACTGCACCAGGACTTATGTGTTGCTGTGAGCTGTTTGTTCGACATGGTATTGGTAAATATGCAGGCTTCATATTTTGAGGTGGAGGCAACTGAGTAACTATAGAACTGTATGGTACACCAAACGGAAGGACAGACATAGAGGAGCGATTCAAATTTCCCTTTAAGGAAAGAGAATCTTCATCAGTGCGTTTAAAAGATGAATCATGAATATTTGTTTCACTTTCTTCAACTTTACATACATCATTCAAAGCCTTAGGAGGTTCTGAAATGTAAAAAAAGTATATATGTTTATATATTTACAAATAAAAAACTCAGTCAAAAAATTTAATAGTTATTCATACTAAGAGAATGTCACTTATTTAATTTAAAGCAATTTTTAACATTACTATTATCTATTGCTATAGATATGCCACACAAAAAGCATTATATAATAATAAAGCTATGAAAAAATTAAATAAATTAGATTACAAATGAACTATTTATTCCTACATTATGTTTCTACAATATACTTTATACTAAGGTTAAATGTCCCTTGCAGCAACTGATGTTCATTTATTTGAATTTCTTCAAAATCTTTATGAAGTTATTTGTCAGAATTTTTCCTCTAAAAGATACAAGATTTTAAACCTCTTATTTACTTGGGGAAGTTTTGTTTGTTTGATTACCACTGTAATCATTACACACATGACATAATAGTCTGAAAGGTACCATTCCACTTTTAATTCTATACATGCCTTCCTTATACAGTCAAAGGTCGTTAATTCGGACACCCATAATCCGGACCTCAAAGCTACAAACTTTCTGCGCATGTGCATAATAAGTTTATGCTTGCGCAATTAATGTATAACGGACAGTATAAGCTAAGATAAAATTATCTAATTCAGTTAATGTTGCAGATTGCGTTGTTCCTGAATCTTCAAATTGGATCCGGATTATTATTTGTTGCAGACTGTTAGAGCAATTTTATAAAAGTAAGCTTGAACTTTCGATTATGTCAAATACAATTTCCGATATATATTTACTAATGTGTAAAGGACCTACAAAGCGAAAGTATGTTTAAAAGTCCATTAAACAAAAAGTGGAATTGCTGCAAAAAATGGATAAAGGCATATCCTTTGTTTCTCAAACCATTTTGAAATCTGTTTACCAATTTCACGCTGCTCTGCATGTGTGTGTGTGGTGTGGGGGGAGGGAAGGTCGCGGCACGCAATGAACTGGAAGTTGATCTGTCAGCACAATCCTTATCTTCAGGGCAGATGTTTTTATTTAATTTACCTTATAATTCCTTACTAAATGTAGTATTTCATCTCGATGTACTCCGTCTTTGATATGATTTAAATAAAATTCCTCGTCATTATAATTCACTTCCGATAAAGAAGAAAGTGATACTGAGGTTATTGAAAATGAAAAAATTTCGATTGACAAATTAGTCGGTATTCTCGACACAGCAATTATAGGACTTGAACAGCGGAACATTTGTAACTGACAAGAAATTTTGTCTGTTTATAGAATTAAAGAGAAAGTATTATCACATAAACAAAGAAACTTAAACATTTTTACATTGAAAGAAATCTTTAATAAAGTAAACAAATAAATATTAAGCTCTTTTTTTGTAAATTTTGATACCCTTTAGATCATAAATGTTCTTTATTTCATAAATTACAGTTTCATATTTTTATTTTTATAATTTCTGCATTCCATCTTACCAGATTTAAACTGATGATCCATAATACGGAAAAATCAATAATCCGGAATTGCCGAAGTCCCGATTAACGACTTTTGACTGTATTATTCTTTAACCCTTTTTGGCACACCAAAAAAAAAAAAAAAAAAAAAAAAAAAAAAATTCCTTCTGTATACACAGAAAAATTGAATGGAAAAGGCTTTATAAGTTATTTTGAACCTTCTTTATATTTATACTAGATGGCAGCAAAATACAAACCAACCCATACATTTTAGCCATGATTAAAGACCCTCATTTATCAAAGAAACGTTCCAGATTTTTTTAAGATATAAAAGAAATCGTTTGAAAAGAAATTTCTACGTTTTTTTTCTTGGCTATATGCTGATCTCTTTATTCTACATCAGTTTTCAATTTTTACCTTCAAATCTTACCTAAAATCGGATGACAAACATCTCATGTGCCCAGAGTGGAATCACTGAAACACTAGTACCAGCCCAACAATTGTATCTTTGTTTCACAGCAGTAATATCTTTGGTGAAATCATTCACAATAGATAGGTGGGTCCACATCTGCGTTTCATTTTCTTTTTTTTAGTTTTTCTAGAGAGGTCATCAACTAAGAAATAGTTGCACTGTTTTCTGACGGTCAGGAGTAATTTTATCAGTCAGCTCTTGATTTTTCCAGGGTTGCAACTCAAATGCGAGAATGAAATTTCCTGACTTTTCCAGATGTGTTTTAAGAAAATTTCAGTCTCTTTGTGTAGTGAGTGTTGGCTGTGCTGAGAGGTAAATTAATTATGGTACCATTTGAAAATGCAAAAATTTGCCTATTACATATGGCTTATCCCCAAAGCACTACTATTATAACTATAAAAAGAGTTGTTTTCTCCACTGAATATTGAGATTACAATCTGCCCAAATAGGATTAAAAAATGTATTTTTTTCAGACATTTTGCAGCTAAACGAAAAAAAGATGATAATGATATTTAAAAATAAATTCACATATTTTACATTTATTTAGCAGCATACATAAGCAAAAAATACATGCATTAAATTTTGTGATGGTATGTCATCATATTGGTAGAATTAGTTTCAGAAGTATGCCATAGAAAATTGCTTAGAATTTGAAAGTATTATTAACTAATAACAAATAAATGTAAAAAGAAGGAAGAAGCCACATTAAATGATGCGAATAACATTAAAATAAATTACTTAAAGTTTGAACACTGAACTACAATAATCAACGATTACTTTGGCGAAAGGTGGTGTCACTTGCTTTGAAAAGAAAGTATAAATGATATAAAGTGAACCCCCCCAAAAAAACATTGTATAAATATGAAATGTAAATATCATATATTATAAAACCAGGTTACCTTTTTTTCATTTATATGTACGTAATCATCATATAACCAAAAACAGAATTTTTTGTGGGTGTGTAAAGGAGCAGGCCTGCCCATGGTACATCCTCAATAATGCTAAATCTGCAGGTAATCAAAATTTCTGTTTTTTAATATTAGGCAAAATCTTTTACTCTGTTGAGTGCTTCCCAGCAATGCTTGCTTCAGCGTTCTTTTTGAAGCTCTATTCATTCAGTGAGTCCGCTTTGAGCACACCCACAGAATTAAAACCATAAAACTTTACAAAATTTTACCTGTGTACTCCTCTAGGCCTGATTGGACTGCCTATCACTTTTTTTGTTGTTTGTAGAAATTCTAACTTTAAAAGGTAGCGTGCCGGAAAAGGTTAAGGCTGCACTTCCAAAATGCCAGATCACTTTATCTCTTGGTTTATTTCCTATTTTAATGTTGTCTGTGGCACCAACAAAACTTCACTGGCTTGAGTAAAGTACAGCAGAAGACCAATGACGACACCAAGTCCAGACTACAGCAGGAAGACACTGCGAGGATCTATTGCCATATTCCAGCCATTTTTTTGTCAGTGACACAGCTGTATTTGCTACTTATTAACCCTTTGCACTTGAGGCCTTTTTCGTTTGCATGAACCAGCAACTCCAGATGATTTCGGTGAAATTCGGCAAACACTTTACAAGTACTTTAAAAACATTTATAAACAAACATATACAAATAATAAAATTTCATCAGTTTATTCCTTTATATGTTGAAAACAACAAAGTTTGATAAATATTACACTCTGTAATTAGTTTTGGTATGATATTTTGTAACACAATATCCAAGATGTATCCTAGGTTTGTCAGGACACGTATCACAGTAATACGAAGTTTCCCGCCTACCTTCAGGCGGGACAAACCTTGCAGTACTTTTTAGTATTACATGAAGCTTTCCGTTTATAATTCTAATTTTCTGTCGTCTCACACCTCTTACTGCATCACTGTCTTCTCCACTGGATTCATTTGTTTTGCAGCATAATCTGTCGGAAATAGATGTAAGTTCATCATCCAAAGCGGCAAAATCAAATTCATCCGAACTCAAGCTGATATGATCTTGGTTAATTCAGATGCTGTGTATATTTTTTTGTACATATTTACTATACATTACATTAAATCATCAACAGATAAATGATTCGTTAAAAGAATGTGCAGTTATAACTGGTAAACAATCAAATGATGTCCAGAGAGGAATAATTTCATCGATAATGCTAACAATACACAATTAGGTGATGTTTACCCAAGCCCAAGAATAACAACAATTGGCGGTTTTGTCCACAACACATATGACATAGAAAACAAGTTGGATTCGATAGTATTCTCGTGATTATGTAAAATTTAGGTTAATGAAATGTGCCGATGAAAATCATTACATGTTACTTGTCATATAGCCTTCATTAAATTAGTCCATGAGACTCTAAAAAGTTGAAGCGACACATAGAATCAAACTGCAATAAAAAGCTGATAAGATAATAAGAAAGAATACATAATAAAAATGAATTAACAGCTAGCAAACAAACTATGTCTTAGAATTTTTTTCAGCGGGCTTTGTTTGAAAATCCAGTTATGGCTTATGAAATATCCCAATTAATTGCTGAAACTGGATATCATCATACACTTATGGAAAAGTTAACATTTCCTGCAACGAAAGTGTTGGCATCTCTTATATGTGATAAAAATTGGGGAAGGGAAGATAAATACATTGTCTCTCTCCAATAACACAGTGAATTGTAAAATCATGGAAATAGCAAATAATAGCAAAAAAACTTAAAATTGTGCAATTTTTTTTCCCTCCCTTTTTAAATTGATGAAAGTACAGACATATCGAAAAATGCCAATTTTATGTGTTTTGCGAGATGCGATTTTGAGAATACATCTGATGAAGAATTCCTATTTTGAAAACCATAGAATACAACAAAAGCAAAATAATTTTTTAATATTATTGATACACTGGTCAAATGATACTGACTAAACAAAATACATGGGACTGAGGCATCCATGCACGGCTTTTTTTGGAAAAATAAAGGACATGGCACCAGACTGTATATGGTTACATTGCTGCATACGCAAAGAAGTCAGGACTACAGAAAATGGTATTGCTTTTGTAAACTGCTATGCAAGAGAGTATAAATTTATAAAACATTGTACCTTGAATTTCAGGCTATCCAATGCAT